CTACTCCTCTGGGCTTACTTCCATGTTTGGCACAAGCTTACGTTCTCACAAGCTTTTCAAGAAGGTTTCTAGCTGAGACGCCACTACCTTATTTTTATTTAGTCAGTAACAGCAACTTCCAGGCTTTGGATGCATCGCTATCCCTCTCCATGACTAAGTATCATGAGAGGGGAAATCAAAAGAAATTTAGATCAAGGGGAACAGCAGCCTTCAAGCCCCTGTTTTCTTCCCTCAGCACTAAAATGAGAAAGGAACAAACAAATCCAGTCCCACTTGGTGATGGAGCTGCAGAGGTATTGTTCCTCAACGGAAAACTTACTCCAAACAAGTACAGATCAATGGCATCCTGTATAAACCATTAAAAGAAAAATTAACTGTGCTCATATATGAATTTGGGAATATTTTCTAAGAGGAGAAGAAAGAGCCTACAAGCTGAGGAACATAGATCATTTTGTCTTCACACCTTTTAAGGGAGCAAACCAAAGATGACAAATGTATGATCCCGCTATATGATACACTTACTGTTTAACTGCAGATTGGTTCCTAGTTATCCATGGAACTGGGCAAAAGACTCATTGAACAGTTACATAAAACTGAAAAGCTGAAAAAAATCTACATTTGCAAATATATGTGCAGGAATATTCTCTCACATAAACCAATTCTGAAGTGCGGAGTTACAGAATACCTACTAATACAGACTGTACCACATGGATGATTAACATAAAGCCTTTCTGAGAATGAGCTGCAGTGATTATTTTCAATCTGTCTCTCCCCCATTCCTTATTGCCTTCTCTATTGTCATGGCAAATTTCTAAATTTGCTTGCATTCTGCAGTTAGGTAACATCAGATTTTGTAACTCTGTCTTTCTGAGTATATACAATCCTGGTCACCAGGCAAACTTTAATATTAAGTGATGTTAAACTTACGAGATGCAAATGTCTGAAATTCTAGAAGCGTGGTTAGCAAGGACACAAAATCAGGCCCTATGGTGAAAAGCAGCATCATTATGAAGATGACATTCAGGTCTCAGTCAGGTCAGCAGATTGCACCACAGCCACAACTTTGTTTTGTCATATATATTTGCAAATCCCTCCTTAGTGCTAGCATGAGGCAGGTAAATACATCAACATTAATAAATGAGAGGTCACCCTGCATGATCTACAATTACTCTATTATACGCTGTCACAGTTATTTTCCAAATATTTCAATGTTAGATTTGTCAAGGAAAGGAAACCAGCAGGACCAAGCCAGTCTTTTGGGACTCCATATACAGACAGCAGTGCCACAGAAGATGCAGGCATCAACCCTTTGGGGATCCTATGCAGATAATGATATCTAAACTGTTGTTGTCTCAACAGTAATGGAAACGAGACAGGGAAGGTACCAGTCTTCAGGCTACATGTGGTGACTAATAAATTGGATGTTGTGGAGTCTGGTTTACTGCAGGAAGGTGAATTTAATGAAAACCTGTGCCTGGCGGGAAGTTCTGCAGCTTGCAAACAAAGCATGGAGAAAATCTGCTTCTGCAGAAACCCCAGGAAAAAAACACTATACAACCTTGGCAAATTGACTCAGAAGAGAGAACTGATGTATTTTCATAAAAAGGATGGAGGAAAATAAGTAAGGTTACCTCTGGATCTTTGTGTTTTTAGAAATAACTCCTTCTGAATCTTAAGCTGATACACTCACATTTTAGGGACAAGGTAAAAATTTAAAAACAATTGCAAAACTCCATCTGTTTGTGCCCATTGATTTAGAGAACTTAACCATTAGGAAGTTTCTTCTTCATGTTACGTTTTGTGAGCTGAGTTTCCTTAGTTTCAGAATCAAAATATGGTATTGTCTTACTACTGCAACCTCTTACAGGCTTTGTCTATTTTGAAAAAAGCCCTAATTTTTGAATTGTGAAATGAAACTCTACTTTCTATACGCAGCAGGGGATTGTGAAAACAGTTAATATATTCACTTGAAGCTGTCCTTTTACTATCCCACTTTCCAAAAAACAAGTTACTCTTCTTCGCTGTCCTGTCTCACAGAGAAGAAAGAACTTATAAGAAACAAAAGGTCAGCAAAAAAAGGCTTTCCAAGAAATGCATGCAAGATAGCATTGGAACAAACATCTCTGTGAAAGAAGGTGCTGAAAGCCAACAGTACAAGTTTCAGTAACTGTAAAATTTTGTCAGCACAAATGGTGTATGTAACTCATTCAGTTACTTTTTGGCAGTAAAATTAAGTTTTGTTTATGGATAATGGCCAATGACTTTATATAACATGCAAATTCAAGAGCTACAAAAATTCCACAGGAAGGGTGACAAAAGACCTGAGCAAAAATTCCCTTTTGTCAATTAATGTTCTCTGAAAAAGGTGAATTTGCCTTGATGTCCCCTGTGGGGACATCGGACCTGCAGTCACACCAGAAGTTCCAGCTTCCCAGCGGAAAGGTTTCTCCTATCCCGTTCATGTCTGTCTGGAAAAGAAAGACTGTCCTGCTCTGTACTGGTGCAATCAGGGCACATTTGCGAGGGAGGCAGAGAGAGAAACTGAACTCCTGTATCCCACATTGTTCATGAGGCTTATAGACATTGCTGAATTACAGAACTTCTTTTACTCTGCTTTCATAATGTCGTGGTTTAAACTCAGTCAGGTAACTCGTTCACTCACTCCCCCCCTTCTTTCCCTCCCCCTGCTCCCAGAGGGACGGAGAGGAGAATTGAAAAGAATGCAACTCCCACAGGTTGAGATAAGAACAGTTCAGTAACTAAGGTATAACACAAATCACTACTGCTACCACCAATAATAATAATGATAAAGGAAATAACAAGGGAAGAGAATACAACACCTCAGCATCAGCCGACCGATAACTTGCCCCCCAAGCCCGACCAAGCACCAACCCATACCTCCTCCAACCCTGCAGTCTCCCAGCCCTTCCGGCTAACTCCCAGTTACCTCCTGGGCATGACGTGCTGTGGTATGGAATACCTCTTTGGTCAGTTTGGGTCAGGTGGCCTGTCTCTGCTTCCTCCCGGCTTCCCCTCCTCCCTGGCAGAGCATGAGGCTCACAAAGTCCTTGGCCAAACCAGAACATCGCTATCAGCTCTGTTCCCAGGCCGAAAGTCAAAACACAGCACTGCACCAGCTACCAAGAAGGAGAAACATGACGGCTACTGCTGAACCCAGGACACATAAAAAGCACAAAAAACCCAGAACTGATGTCCAAGTTTAATTTCAGGTCAAATGGAATATTTGCTTAAGTAGAGAAAAGCTTTTTCTTTCTTTTTTTTTTTTTTTTTTAACAGTATGAACAAATAAGAGGAACTTTCAGTCTGTATTCAAGCTATAACTTTGTTTCTTTCCTGGGAAGCTGGAGAGACAAAGAAGACTAATCTGCTTTTTAGGAAGTGGGATGGTGAAGGGCTTCCGACCAGGAAAATTCACTGTTTTCTTAACCCTGATCCAATCACCTCTGCCCAAGGAGCTACTGCGGGATGAGGGCTGATGTTGACACCAAACTTTTTCTTACCTCTTGATCAGCTCTGCAGGACCCCAGCCTGGAGACGGAGGGTGCCTGCAGCTTCACAGCTGGCTCAGAACCACTGCTGGGTGGGAAGGCCTGCCCTGTGGACAGGACAGCCATGGAGCACTTGGTCTTCTATGCCACGTGTAGAGTGGGGCCAAACCTCTCCACCGTCACACACTTGAGACACACTGAATCAATGGGCCTCAGGGGAGGCAAGTGTCCACGCAATGTCAGGGCTGGATTTGGGCTCCAGCTCAGGCCTTGACCTCATAAACAGGACAGATGTACCTGCAGTATCTTAACAATCTCCTGTAATAAATGTTTGGATCCCACATGTTACCTACTGAGAGTATAACTACACCATATGTTGGCTTAGACAGAAAAGTTGATTTAAAACATTTCTACCTTATGTTGCTCATTCCCACCCCCAAGCCATAGGATGCTGCCCCCTTAGAAGTATTAATACCAAGTTTTGTATTTGTATCATTTGCAGAAATTTACAGTAAATCAGATCACTAGAAATCTGTATTAAAAATCATTTGGGGTGGAAGTAAAGATATTTGTGGGAAAAATCCCCAAAGTACATACATCTAAGACACAATGAAAGCCCCTCTGCTAACAGCACCAAACCCAAATCACTGCATTATTTTTGATGTGAAGACCATTTATGTTGCCAGAATGTATAAGTCACTTGCCCAATTAAAATAACACAGCTTTCTTTCAAAAGATTTCTGTCACAGACTATCCCAGAAAATTTTTTGGAGATTGCTTATGTAAACTGTAAGTAAAGATTTCCTAGTTTTAATACAAACAGTAGTAACAGCAGCAAGAGGAGTTGCTGTTGATAATCTTCAATATTGTTGCTCAAACATCCCAGTTGCACATTACCCAGGAAACCTTTCCCAAGTTTTCACCCTCTGGTTTAGTGAAGTACACTTCCGCCCTTGCAGTTAAACTAAGTAACAGGGAAAAACCGAACCACAAACCCTGTACTGACACAAACCACCAGAACAGCCCACCAGCAGCAAAACAAATACCAGAGCTCCAAAAAGTCTTATTTTAGCACAGGAATACCCTGAGCCATGCAGTGAAAACGTGAAGTACTGCAGGGGATGGGTTGCCCAGCAAAGAGGAAGGTTTAGCCCTGCTGAACACGACTGCTGCCAGCAACGCACTCTCTCACCAGTAACCCGCGGGAAAACAAGACCCATCTCAAAACCAAAGGCGGGAAAACTGGAATCTCAGCCTTCCTCTCTTCCCATAACCTGGCCGCTTACTTTGCCATGTCTAGCACGGCGAAGCTTCACGCTTTCTCCTGTCCCCTGCCTCCCTACGGAACCGCAGACCAGCACCCTTCAAATGAAAGTGGCGCCCCCCACCCCGCCCCCGCCTGCCCTCGGCCCTGCTCCAGAGGATTCAGGGTGCCGGGACAGGCGGACGCTTTCCCGTCCCGGGGCCGGGGGAGCAGGACGGGATGCTCACCCGGCGGTTACGGTCTGTCTCCCGCACCTCCTCCTCTTCGGGGCCTTGGCGGATGAGCGCCTTGAGCACTATGGTGTTGTTGGTGCAGCAGGCTCGGAAGAGGGTGAGAGCCTCGGGGCTGTCGCGCCCCCCTTCCTCCAGGGACCACTGGTCCTCCTCGTCCTCCAGCCCCCGCGGCGGGTAGAAGGAGTCATCCGAGGCGATGCTGCAGGTGTCGGGAAGCTCGGAGAAGTCCTCGTACTCCTCGCAATCCTCTTCCTCCTCCTCCTGCTCCTCGCCCAGCCCCTCGGCGGCTGCCCCCGCCGCACCCTGCTCGGGGTCGTTCTCCTCGGCGCTGGCCATGTCCGGCGCCGGCGCGGGGTACACGCGCTCCCCCGACAGCTGCTCCCCGGCCCCGGACAGCAGCACCATGGTGGCCCGGGGCCGGGGGCTCCCCTCCGGCCCCGCCGGGCCGCCCTTGCCCTCACCCGCCGGCCACGGGGAGCTGGCCGGGGGGTCTCGCTGCCAGCTGCCCTGTGGGGACTAGCGGCTCTTCCCCGTGCAGTCCCGCGTTCGACGAGGGGTCCCTCTGCCCCTCTCACGCAAGTTTGAGGCCCGTCCGGAGAGTAGCCCCGCAGCAGCCCGGCGGCCGGCACCCCGCGGGCCGGGGCATGGTGCTGCCGCCGGGACTCCCCCGGGGCCCGGCCGGGCTCGCTCGCTCAGCGAGGTGAGGCTGCCGGCAGGCAGGGCCGGTCTGCGCGGAGAAGAGAGTTCGCCAACTCCTGGCCCGTAATCCGCTCAGCATCTCTCTGAGACGATTTGGGCTCAGGCTTAGCGGGGTAAAAGCGGCTGGCGGGGAGAAAGAGGAGGAGGAGGGGAGCGGGCGGCGGCTCCCTTCGCGCCGCACGGCCCCGCTGTAGCTGTCGGGGGGAAACCTGCCCTTCGGCGGTCGTTGTCCTTCTGCGCGGAGAGATGGGGTGGGCCACCGCAAGCCCATCCGCGGTGGGAAAAGGGGCCGCCGGACCCGGGCGGGTGAGGCAGAGGCTGCCACCAGTACCGCAGAACAAACTGTGTGGTCCCGAGAGCCGTTGCTTACAGCGATGTACACAAAACTTTTCACGAATACGACTAGCCCCTGTAGCATTGATCTTTTGAAAAAGATACAAAAACTAGGTAAAATATGGCATTTCTGTGCTTTGAAAGAGAGCTTTAAAGCAATTAATTCCTTAAATCACATCACACACACCTGACAGTTTAACCAGCTGTAAGAGATGTCAGGCATTTCCTTTTTATGGAAGGCATTTGGAGATTAGGCTGAGGAGAATAAAGCATGTACAAATTGAGTCCCAGCTTTGTCACAGTGCCTCTAAAATCTTTTTCTTTTCAAATGCCATGGATTAGCACCATTCTCTGGCAGTGAAACAGTGGTGGGGGGAAACACTTTGGCCAACAAAACGGGGTATTTGTTTTCTTCAAGAACACTTTGAAGTGAACCTCGTATATATGACATCTTCAGCAGGTGAATGTCCAGGGTCTGGGTCCCTGTCAGTCCGACAAGAGAAACAAGCTGGTATTTCTGCATGAAGTGAGACAGAATATGATGCACACTTCATTTATTAAAGGAAAGTATGAATGAAAAGGAAAAAGTAACTGTGAGTAATGGGGCCCAAGGAGTAGCTGTTTACAGTCTTTAGAGAAAACATCATGTGAACCAGGCGTTGCAAGTGAGAGAAAGCTCAGTGGCTTCTTGCTGATCTCTAACTGGAAGGGTTAGCCCAGTGCCTAGCTGGAGGACATCCATAATCACAATTAGTAACAAATAGCACCCTGATTAGCAAGGAAGCTAAACTGGGAAGAAAGGAGATTAAACTGTTCACTCACCTCCAGATACCTCTGGGATCATAGCTGACGTGTATTATCAGCCATGCTTAGCCTCATGCTGCCCATCTCCCATTATCTCTTTGCATAGAGAAAGGCCCCGTACTCCAAAACCACTCCATGTGCCTGTTCCCAAATCAGATGCTTCTGAGCTGGCTTTACCTGCAGCATGACAGCTCTGTCGAATTTTTCCTTTTATCGCCTATCCATTTCTTAAGTACTTGTATTCACAAATTTTAAGGGCTCCACTCAGTTAACTTTTTGTTTCCCACTCAGCGCGGCCAGTGATCTGCTCAACAGAATGGTATTTCTTAAAGCAGTACTTGTATTTTGGAAGAACTTCATTTTTACTTGAGACCCTGCAGCTGGAGGGGAGGGAGTATTTGTCTTGTTCTCAGCCTGAACTCATCATAGAAGCTCAGAAAGACTTTTGGCTCTAGTAACTTTGGTAGCAGACAAACAAAAAACCTAATTCTCACTACAGAGAAACAAAAATATTTTGTGGGTGAAGATTCAGCTCATCTGTAGGAACTGATTAATCAAATATACTTGTTTTGTTTCTGTCTTAGAGACTAATTTCACAGAAATAAAGATTTACTTTATTTACCAGACTGTTGTTTGTTTTTTAATTTGAATATGAAATATGTTAGCAAAGATGCAGGCACCAGTAAGTTTGAATAGCAAAACCAAACCCCAATCCTGAAAACCCCTAATCCTCACTATAGGGAAACAACAGTTATTTTAACATAGGGAAAAAAAAGTTTGATTCTGAAAATTCACCCTCTTTTTTCCCTGTGTTCAGTTTACCTATCAGTTTATTAATGGAAGAGAAATGAATCTGTCTGCTTCCACAGCTGAGGTGGTTCTGCAGGGACCTCAGAGATGAAAAATGTTTTCTCTTGACTGTGCTTGACGCTTTCATTCTTTCTCTGAAAGAACAGTGTGATATTGCTTGAGCTTTCAAAGCAAGGTGTCAGACTAGTTCAGAGCAGGCACTGCTCTTCCCATTGGAATTTTCACTTGTACAACTGCTGTTGAGACTGTAGTTCAAATTATTTCATCTCTGTGCAGTTTGACGATAAGTCACCACAGAAAGGTGCAGTTAATTGGACTTAAACTGTTACATGAGTCCTTAAGATGCTGCTGCAGCCATTTATCTTGTCAGCATAGAGGCTCCCACCAAGGCTAGTCTGCTTGGGCATGGTTATGGATTTAAAACATTTCTTGGTTCTTTCGGCGACACAGGTTGTATGTGGCAAGCAAGGTTTCTTGTAATTTATACTCCGCTGTGCAAATCAGACTAAAACAATGTAAAGAAAGGCTATAGAATAAGTTCACAAATGCTTTCAGATTATCAAAAAAGACATTTCCATGGCATTTGTAAGAGGAGAGCTTCAAACCTTCTGTCTAGAAAAGATACCAGTTAGCATCATTGAAGGTAAATGCTGGTATTTATAAAACTTATCATAAAAGTGAAGAAATAAACATTACCATCTTAAAGCAAATAGCCCAGAATTATTAGTCATTATCATCATGAGTATCTGATAAAAATTTATTGCTTGGAATTAACAAGGTGGGAAATTAAAATATTCAGAGCTGATCTCACCTGTTCCTGTGCAAAGCTTCCCTTGAAGAAACCCATTTTTGGAATGACTATAGCATTGGGTGCCCCCAATTTGCCTCATTCAGGTTTGTAAACCATTCCAATTATAAACAGTTCTGAGATAGAGATTGAGAGTCAATGAGATTAATGTGCAACTGTAAAATTAGTATGAAGATTCAGTGAGTGTTATGTGTCCTTCTCACATTCAATAACTTCACCAAAGGAAAAAATCCACAACACACTGAATGTTATTGCCCGTGTTCTTAAAAATGAAATCTGCTCAAAGAAAAAGCGGTTTCAATGATTCAAGGGGTTTATAAATTCTCAGTTGCACATCAGATCACTTTTTCTGCAGCCAGTTGGCTCCTCAGTCATTGCTTTGTAAGTGTGTGCTTGGAGCATGTGAAGGGATGGAGCAGTGCATCACTAGCTGGCAGTACCACCAGTCGTGGCAACACAGCACTGTTAAATTTAAGAGCAGTCTCACTTCCTTTCTTTATTTTTCTGCTGAACAGCTTGTAAAAGCTTTTCTTTTGAGAGCCATAGAAGTTTCTTTGGACACTGGATGTCTCTCTCTTCCACCACAGCCACCAAAGGAAGTATTCAGGGCAAAAAGAAACCTCCCTCAAACAATCTGGCCATCTTCACAGATGGGAGAGGAGGTGAAACCTCCAAAAGGCCCATGTAGGGAATGGGTTTGGTGGCATGACCTAACCTGGAACCACCTCAGTGCTAACCTGGTCCATTCCAAGGGTCCCAGTGGGTAAGCTGTGGAGGAAACATGGGTTAACAAGGTGATAAAAGGGATGGGGTATTGCTTTTTACAGCACCTTTGGAGGTAGACTGATAGAGGAGGTAGACAGGACCTTTGGAGGTAGACTGATAGAAATACTCACTTTCAACCTTCAAGCCTTGTGTTGGTCATCAAACAAGGCTGGTTGCAGCTTCAAAAACTGGCTGCTTCAAGTTAATGTCAATACAATATTTAGGCATGGATGTAAGCAAACTGGTTTCTGGAGTTGCTGAGTTCTTGGCAGTGCTGGCAGACTAATAAATCCAAAACTGTGTTTATTATGCCAAATAATGTACTTTTGATTTGGATGCTTTGCTGGGGCTGTAGCAGGCTGGTAAAGAGACTAGCTGTTGTGAGGCATGTAAGCGCAATTAACCTAGTCAAAAGACATCAGTTCATGTACTGCATTTGAGCTCTGCTGTTGGCAAGGTATATAAGAAGGCGGCATTCAAGGTAAAGGTTAAGATTTAAGCTGAAGGGATCACTGAGGAAAAAATTCCTGTCAGTCAAAAAGAGCCAAAGACAGACAGTGAGTGTTGGCTTTCATAATTACCTGATCTGGGGTGGGTCACCATGTTTACAAATAAACAGATTCAGCAGAACTTGCTAAGACCACGCCATTTTAAAGTCTTTTGGAAAGAGCAGAGTTGAAGCCTCAGTTTTCCTAAGCTCTGGCCAAGATTTGATGTGAAATCCTGCTGATCTGGGAAGTAACATCTGCTGAGGAGCTATGGCTGGAAGTTGCAATATGTTTCCTAGAAACCAAATGCTTGGTCTGAATGATGAGAGTAGAGCCAGAGAATAAGGAATATTAGCAATCATCTTGCTACATGTTAGTGTTTTCTCTGTTGCTGGTATTTTTCAGCTGTTGCTCAGTCAGATTAAATGTTGTTTAAAGTATCTGTAATACCAGCCCAATGGTATCACTGTCAAGTTAATACAACAAACAGATGTAAGTATAAAAACCTGACACTGGACAAAGAAAAACAAAGGTTGAGAATAGGAGAGCAAAATGTTTTTCAAATCATAAGTTTAATTTTCTTTTCCTGTATGTTGATATCTTTTTCCAAAAGTACAAAATGCTAGAAATTAATACATGTATAAAAATGGGGGAAAAGAAATCTCATTTATATTCAATTTCTCAACTAGAACTATTGGATCATCAAGGTT